TCAAATGCTGTTAGTACAAATCTTTCTTCCCACTGAATTAAGAGAAAGTATCTGTATATCTATCCTAACTATTTTGTATACACAGATACAAAATGGTCCTTCATTTATATCCCCTTTTTTGTTTAGTTTTTTCAGGGATGGGTATTCCATTACCATTTAGATATTGTAGATGTGTGAATTCAGCAAATAATCCAGTATAGTCCAGTAGTCCATAACAGTAGTGGGTTATCTGTAGGACTGGCAATTTCAGAAGTTGTTGACTTGAGCCTTGTACAGCTCAGCATATTAATATGGCTCTACTTTTTATATTTATTATTTTCTATATAAATGGTTTCCCACTTTCCTCAAAAATAGACTTTTGATATTTTTGAGATAGTCTTGAAAAAGTAAAAATTGGGAAAATTTATATGTTTGTAATATTTAGTATTCTAATTAAAAACATAATATACATACCATAAGGTCTGTATATTCTAACTTATATTATTGTGGAAATTTTATATTGAATGCTTGAAGATGATTCTTTCATTGTGTTTCTCTATGCAGTCATACATTAGAGCTGGACTACTTTGAAACACCTGGAGTTTTATACTTTACACATTTGGCTTGAAAACTTTTTACAGTCCTCATCATTTGCTTGGTACTCAGAAAGTAAACTAGATCTTGATGGTAACTACCTCTTGACCTGTTCTTTCCATCCAAAACAATTTGGTATTCACTGTCTTGGGTATTTTCCTGACTCTCAGAACCAATTTTCATTTTTAGGATTCTGAAGATATCACAACATTTGATAAATTAAGGTGCTAATATAAATATACTACTTTTTATTTCCATCCTTATTTCTTATATTTATAATTAGGAATACAATCAATTCTTAATGCATAATTTAAATTTAGTGAATTTTCCAAATTTGTTTACTAAATCCATATGCAGATTATCTCACTTTTATACATGTAATCTTATCATCTATGAATAATGAACTTTTTATTTCATCTTCACATTCTTATAACTTTTATTACTTCTTAAATATTTGGAAATTGTTGGCCTTTTAAGACCATGTTGAGAGACAGCAGCCATTTGCAAGCCAGGAATGGGACCTCCTCAAGAACAATGCCTGCCCGCACCATGATCGTGGGGTCCCCAGCCTTCAGGACACTGAAATAAATGTTTGTTGTTTAAACCTCAAAAAAAAAAAAAAAAAGACCATGTTGAATAGACATGTAAAAGAAACCATTTTTTTAACTCTGAAAGAGAAACATTCAATAGTACAGTATTTTTTATGAGACTTTTGCTGAAATGTTTTACAACAGTTATCATACTTAAGTTTTCTTTCAGGGATATAGGAAGGATTTGTCTTTTTTAAAGAAAAACAAGAATGAGTATTTTTTTCTAACACTTTTTTTTACATTTAATGAAATGATTTTACTGCCCTCATATTATCTTTGTACAATACATCTTTATTTAAGTGATTGAATTGAAGTGTATTTGAAATTCTTCTCTTTCTCCTTCTCCTTCTCTTTCTGCTCCTTCTTCTTTGGAGTATTTGATACTAAACCCAAGGCAATACTCAAGGCCTTTTGAGCTATACCCTTAATCCATCCACTTTATTTCAATGCATTTCTTTATTTTAGTTGTGATTTTACAAAATATATGAATTCTTCCTTTAAGCAATGAATAAAATCATTTACATTTTTGATATGATAATATGTTAGATTGCAAATTTATTATATTATTTCCTCTATTTTAATTATTCTGTCTCCAATGTTTTGTTACTTTAATTTTGTTTTTTTATATTTCTGAATATTGCAGTTTAAATATGTGTGGAAGTTGAGGGGATGAATATTTATGTCAGGAAATTTGGACAGTTTGTAATCTTCTTTTCAATGAATAGCAATTATATTTAAATCTTTATTATTGTACCAAAAAAAGGTGCAATAATCATCACTAGTTTTTTTTTGTTTTGTTTTGTTTTGTTTTGTTTTGTTTTGTTTTGTTTTGTTTTGTTTTGTGGTACGGGAATCAAACTTGGGACCTTTTGCTTCCAGGTAAGTGCTTATGCTGAGCTATAACTTTGGCCACAGTGAATATTTTTTTAATGCTAGCTCCCACTGGATCTATGAATTTTATTTATTTTGTTATTTAAGTTGTTTTGCTTTATTCACAACACATTAATACTAACATTACTGTTATAAAATGGATTGAAACCATGATTTATTTATGTACCTAATAACTTTTTGTTTAAAAAAACCTTTTTGTGCAAACATCATATTATCTCACTAGTGTAAGAACCTGAAAGAATAAATGAAGTCTGAAAGGTGCAAAGGTCACACATCACTTTCTACCCAGGAGCTCTTGGATACTGTGAAAGGGAAAGAATCTGTTTAATGGGAGGGAAAAACTGAGATGATGAAAAGACAAAAGAAAGAAGGGAAAAAGATATACTAGTGCATATATGCATGATAATTTGGATAATTTTATTGATGATTTCTTCTGGTCTACTGAAAGAAACAGTTAATTCTATTTTTTTATTTTCTTTAGCTCTTTTTAGTTTGTGTAATTTTGCATGTTTATGTCTAGTAATCTAGGCAACTAATTATAAGATAACATCATATAATACAACAGCCATTGTCAAATTTCTATTATTTGGTTAGTAAAATTCTGCATTGTTTCTAATTTTTTTCTTTTACCCTTTTGTACTCTCCTTATTTTTTATTTTTATTTATTTGTATACTTATTTTGGTACCAGGAATTGAACTCAGGACCTTACACCTGTAGGGCAGGTGCTTAAGCTGCTGAGCTATGTCATCAGTCTTGTATTCTCTTTAAAATAAAAACAAATTAAATAAATAAAACAGTTCATCTAAACTACTTTTTAAAGATACATCTTCCCTATTTGTCAACAAAAATACTATGAACTTGGCTTAAAATAATGTAAGTTAATTACATTATAGCTCGAGTGTAAAAGTGTACACTCTATCTCCCTGAGAGATACTCAGAATATCTGAATAACAGATTCCTTCTTAGCACTAGGGGAAATTCCATTCCCTAACCTTTCACGACTTCTGAAGTTTGTCCACATTTCTTCCCTCAAGATCCCTTTAGCCAGGAAAGTATTACTCTGACCTCTTCTTTGAGTAGTATAACTTTTGATTTTAATCCATTTCCCTACATTGACTACACTTGATTTAATGAGAAAAATCTATCTCAAAACTGATAATTTAGGTCGAACAGCTCAGCGGACTAAAGCACCTGCTTAGTCAGGTGCAGTGCCCGGGATTCGATCCCGGATGTGCAGTGCATCCCAGGGGCAGGTCATGGTGAGGCGACTAGAATGGGGGTGGTGGTTGGCACTTGTAATCTCAGAGCTTGGCAGGCTGAAAACAGGAGGATCACTATGAGTCCGATCTGTGTAATAAGACCCTGTAGATCCTATACTAAAATATATAAAAACCTGATAATTTAATTATATATACCCAATTCTTATTTTATTTATTATCTTGTAACACATTTATAAATTCTTAGAATTAGACCAGGACACAAGGTAGGGAGAAAGAGGTTTGATTGATTCATGATTTTAGTCCATGATCCACTGGGTCACCAGTAGAGGTATCCTGGTGGAAGGGAAGGGAGAACACAGTTGATTAGTTTGTAATGGCTCATGAGCAGAGCAGGGGAGGAGTACCTGAGGGGGGTAGGGAGGGACCATATATGGTACCTAAGGTAAGGTCTTCATGACCCACCCTAGAGGTCCTCTTTCCTAATGTCCTTTGTGGCTCCTATGCCAACCAAGTAAACCACTAAGCTTATCAGTCACACATCACTTTCTACCCAGGAGCTCTTGGTGTAATGGTCTCTGGGATAATTGTGAAATATTTTCTGTTCATTGTTGCTTTCATTTTGTCCTAGTATTATTGCAAATGTATATACTCACCCCTTATATGTATGTACATAAAAAGATCTTTCCTCCATTTAAATATATTTGATTGTTCCTTTTTGTTATTTCTCTACAGTGGTTGGTATGAAAATATGCTCAGAAATATGGCCTCCCATGGCCCACATGACCTTGACTATAATGCACTTAGGCACAGGTAGTAATAGGTAGATGGGATCTGCTTCCAAGTCCAGGAGTTATTTTGGCAATTTGGATTTGGGGGCAGCTCTCCTTTGAGTTATAACTGGTTTTCTGAAATGCTGTTTCCAGTCTGAGGAATGTAAAGAAATTTAAAGCCATAGCAGAAGTTCAGAATAATTTTTTATAAAGCGTATTTTTGGAGGAATTTTTGGTATATTAGGAGGTAAGTCCAGAATCTTCTCAAATTTGTTATTTTTCCCCCTGTATTACTCTGATTTCTTTCAGATGAAGCACTAGACTACTAGTTTTCATCATGCATTGGAGTTCTTTGGAAAGTTGTAAGATGAATAAGTGTTTAAATTATAGCTCCAGAAATTTGTTTGTAATTCACCTAAGTGAGACTCTGATAGTGCTCTTTTTTATTTATTTTTTTATTCATAGCTCCTGGAGGTGTTTAATGTATAGTCACAGTTGAGAAACAATATAATAGAAAGTCATTCAGAAGTGATAACCATTTTCAAGAGGATAGGTGTGGGAATACAGGCTTAGTGTTATCACATTTAAGGATAAATGAAAGTAAATTATTTCTTTTTCACCTGGAGCCACAGGAGGAAAGATTCTGATTTAAACTGTTGTCTAACATAATTATTGACTAAAAGCTCCTCTCTCCTGGGGAATAAAAGCAGTTTTCTAGGTGCAGGGGCCTGGATCCTGTCCTGTTGGCTCTGCCCTCGGGGCATGCTGAGACAGCCATTGAGACTGGGCATGGTGGCTCACGCCTGTAAACCCAGTACTTGGGAGGCTGTAAATAGGAGAATCACTATGAGTTCAATCTAATAGTGAGACCCTGAACACCTGTAGACCCTTCTGTAAAATACAGAACAAATAAAAGTAAAAAATAAAAGCAGTTTTCCTTTGAAATTTGGGTTGACGCTTCACTGACACCTGGAAGGATGAGAAGGAGCACTGTATCACCATCAAGTCAACTGCTATCTCCCTCTTCTATGAGCTTTCTGAGAATGACTTGAACTTTATCAAGCAGAGCAAGGATGGCTCTGGCTTCCTTATTAACCTCACTGACTATTCTGGGCACGTGGACTTCTCCTCAGAGGTGATGGCTGCCCTGCGTGTCACTGATGGGGCCTTGGTGGTGGTGGACTGCCTGTCAGGTGTGTGTGTACAGAGAGAGACAGTGCTGTGGCAGGCTATTGCCGAGCATATCAAACCCATGCTCATGATGAACAAGATGGACTGGGCCCTGCTGGAGTTGCCTTTGGAGCCCGAGGAGCTGTACCAGACCTTCCAGCGCATAGTGGAGAATGTCAACGTCATCATCTCCAACTATGGGGAGAGCGAGAGTGGTCCCATGGGCACCATCATGATTGACCCTGTCCTTGGTACTGTGGGCTTTGGGTCTGGCCTGCATGGCTGGGCCTTCACCCTAAAGCAGTTTGCAGAAATGTACGTGGCCAAGTTCGCTGCCAAGAGCAAGGGCCAGTTGGGGCCTGCTGAGTGGGCCAAGAAGGTGGAAGACATGATGAAGAAGCTGTGGGGTGACCAGTACTTCGATCCAGCCAACGGCAAGTTTAGCAAGTCAGCCACCAGCCCTGATGGAAAGAAGCTGCCCCGTACTTTCTGCCAGCTCATCCTGGACCCCATCTTCAAGGTGTTTGATGCAATCATGAACTTCAAGAAAGAGGAGATGGCAAATCTGATCGAGAAGCTGGACATTAAGCTGGACAGCGAGGACAAAGACAAAGAGGGCAAGCCACTGCTCAAGGCTGTGATGTGCCTCTGGCTGCCAGCTGGGGACGCACTGCTGCAGATGATCATGATCCACTTGCCGTCGCCCGTTACAGCACAGAAGTCCCGTTGCGAGCTGCTATATGAGGGGCCCCCAGATGATGAGGCCTCCATGGGCATTAAAAGCTGTGATCCTAAAGGATGTACATTTCCAAAATGGTGCCAACCTCCAATAAAGATCGGTTCTATGCCTTTGGACGCGTCTTCTCAGGGCTGGTGTCCACCGGCCTGAAAGTCCGGATTATGGGTCTTAACTACACCCCTGGGAAGAAGGAGGACCTTTACCTGAAGCCCATCCAGAGGACCATCCTGATGATGGGCCGCTATGTGGAGCCCATTGAGGACGTGTCTTGTGGGAACATCGTGGGACTGGTGGGTGTGGACCAGTTCCTAGTGAAGACTGGTACCATCACCACTTTTGAGCAAGCCCACAACATGCGTGTGATGAAGTTCAGCGTCAGCCCTGTGGTCACAGTGGCTGTGGAGACCAAGAACCCAGCTGACCTTCCCAAGCTGGTGGAGGGGCTGACGCGGCTGGCTAAGTCCGACCTTCTGGTGCAGTGCATCATTGAGGAGTCAGGAGAGCACATCATCGCAGGCGCTTGTGAGCTGCGCCTGGAGATCTGCTTCAAGGACCTGGAGGAGGACCACGCCTGCATCCCCATCAAGAAATCGGACCTCGTGGTCTCGTACCGGGAGACAGTGAGGAAGGAGTCGAGCATGATATGCCTCTCCAAGTCCCTCCACAAGCACAACCGCCTGTACATGAAGGCGCAACCCTTCCCAGACGGCCTGGCTGAGGACATTGACAAGGGTGAGGTGTCTGCCCGCCAGGAGCTAAAGCAGCATTCCCGTTACCTGGCTGAGAAATATGAGTGGGACGTGGCAGAAGCCCGCAAGATCTGGTGCTTTGGCCCTGACGGCACTGGCCCCAACATCCTCACTGACATCACCAAGGGCGTGCAGTACCTCAATGAGATCAAGGATAGTGTGGTGGCCAGCTTCCAGTGGGCCACCAAGGAGGGGCACTATGTGAGGAAAATATGCGTGGAGTGAGCTTTGATGTCCATGACGTGACCCTGCATGCCGATGCCATCCACCACGGGGGTGGTCAGATCATCCCCACGGCGTGGCGCTGCCTGTACGCCAGTGTGCTGACAGCACAGCCGTGCCTCATGGAGCCTATCTACCTTGTGGAGATCCAGTGTCCAGAGCAAGTGGTTGGGGGCATCTATGGTATTCTGAACAGGAAGCGAGGCCATGTCTTTGAGGAGTCCCAGGTGTCTGGCACCCCCGTGTTCATGGTGAAGGCTTACCTGCCCGTCAATGAGTCCTTGGCTTCTCGGCCAACCTGCGATCCAACACGGGTGGCCAGGCCTTCCCCCAGTGTGTGTTCGACCCCTGGCAGATCCTGCCCGGTGACACCTTTGAAAAGAGCAGCCGCCCAAGCCAGGTGGTGGCAGAGACCCGCAAGCGCAAGGGCCTGAAGGAGGGCATCCCAGCCTTGGACAACTTCCTGGACAAGTTGTAGGCAGGTGGCATCACTCCAGCTCCACCACGGCAGCACGTCCTCACTCAAATGACACCTTGAGACTGTCCCTACACAGTAACCTCTGCCTGACGAGTTTTTGGGCCTGCTCCAAGCAATCGTGCCATTCACACTTGATGCGGTTTCTATTTATTTTGGGTTTCAGAGCAGCAGAAATGCCCTCTCTGCAGGGACTTTTGGGCCAGTGGGTTGGAAGGTATGGCAGGACACCTAGTGTTTTTCATTGTTCAGAGGGAACCACAACTTGATGCCCTAAAATTTAAAACAAATATATTAAGAGAAAAAGAAATTTGGGTTGAATAACATTAAAATACTATTTTTATACTCAGTTCTATTTGAGGCAGTTTTTTTCCATTGCCAAAAGATTAATTTGTTCATTGACTGTTAAAGAAAAATTTGTCTACCTGAAATTTATTATCATTATTGAGAAATGTATTTAAAGTTATAGTTTCTTAAAACTCCCCAACATTTTTTTTCTTAAAATAATTCAAAGACAATTAGATTTATGCTTAGAGACTTGCCTATGCATGTGGATCAAGGATATTTTATCTAAAATGGGAACTCATTTCCTATTTTATCTAGAAATTACAAGGAGATTTATCTTAGGCATGGTTTACAACTACGAATTTTGTGTTGTATTTTGCTTTTAGTCAATTTGTTCAGTAAATTAGGCACTTAAACCTTTAACTCTGTGAAGGCCTAGTGTCAGTAATTAGACTTCATCAAATGCATGGATTGAATTTTCAATCAGGTTTTATCTCTTGTTGATAGATTTATCTTTTCTTAAATGTTGCACTTTTTTCTAGGTCTAATTAAATCAGTAATTCACAAAATATTTTAAGATTTTCAGACAGAGATCTCACTGTAAAAAAATTAATGTGAACTTCAGAAAGAGAGAGAGAGAAAGGGAGACAGAAGTGATAACTATTTTCAAGAGGAGAGGTGTGGGACAGAGACAGAGACAGAGAAGAAAGAGAAGAATGCAAGGTATACCCATGTAGGCTACTTGTACTCTAAGCATTTACTCTGTTCTACGGAAATGAAGAAAAATGAATGGATGAAAAGAAAGGAGGGTAGAAAAGAAAGATAAGAAAGGAAAATGCAAGGCAAGAAAAAATTTGACTTATCAAACATTTACTAAAATATCCATAATTCAAATTTCTCCAAATTATTAAGTTGTATAAAAGGTATACATATTGTAGGCACACATCATTTTAAGAAATTAGAAAAATCTATTTGTTTCAGCTTATACTCCACCTTTAACAATTACATATTTCTTTAAAAAGTTACATCTCGGGGGCTGGAGAGATAGATCGGCTTTCTAAGTGCCAGCCTTGGAAGCACAAGGACTAAGGTTCAATCGTTGGTACCACACACCATGTCAGTTCCCATGAAGTGCCAGCCCCCAAACCGAACATGGTGTTGCACACTTGCAATTCCAGAGCTGGGGTGCTGAGATAGGAGGATCATTGAGTCTGAGCTGCATAGCAAGACCCTGTACCAAATAAATATTGAATAAAAGATTAAAAATTAACATTTGTTTTATATTTACACAAAGTTGCATGATTTATCATTCAATGCTGCCATATATTTTTACATGTTATTTAATAATGCAAAAAGTGAATTTTAATACTATCAGACTTCTATGTGAGGATTCTGTTGACAAATTTATTATTAAAAGATTAAGTATTTAGGATAAATGACATCCTTATGTACAAGAAGTATTGGAATAGAAAATTAGATAGCATTCTTGCATGTTTTTTTTTTTTTGCTCTGAATGCCTTCAGGGTAGGTTTGGCTGGCTTGTGTTGTGGGGATTGAACCACAGCAACCTGAGCCTGACTGCTTTGTTGAAAAAGCCACTTAAAGAACTGACCTAAGGGGCAGGCCCCCTCTTGCATGTATTTTCATATTACTTAATTTCACTATATTTTCTTACTATAATGAGGTTGACATTCTTATTTTTTATTTTTTGTTTTGAGAGAGAATGTTGCTACACTGTTCAAGCTGAGCTTGGACTTGTGATCTTCCTCCTTCAGGCTCCCAG